AGCCCAAGAATAAATGGGCTCTGAGAAGGCCGAAAGATAACATGGGCTGGAAACGGCCCAATGGAATAACGGGCCGTTAATGGGTATAAAGTGATACACTGTTCATTACAGGCCAGTTTCACCATGGCCCGTTAATGGGTGTAAAGTGATACACTGTTCATTACGGACCAGTTTCACCACGGGTCGTTAATAGGCCAAGAGTTACATAGGGCCTCATATGGGCCGAAAGACGTCATGGGCCATACATGCGCCACAAGTGAAAACGGGCTGGGATCATATTGGATGGCCCAGATGATGCTACTGGGCCTAATTCGGATAGGACGTAATGGGCCTTGGGTTAGCGGGCTGTAAATGAGCTATATGCGAACAGGCCATTAACATGCTTTCCATGGGCCGGCCCGCCACCTTTTGACCAAGTCAAACGGGCCGGCCTTTTCACAGGAATGGGCCTCTGTTGGGCCATGCCACGTGTCGATGCATCATAGGCGCCTTCCGTCCAATGAGTGGATGACATCTGTCCCAACGATGAGCCGACACGTGTTTCCTCCAGCCAATGATGATTTTACACGTGGAAAATCCCCATTGGTCGGGGTTGTTAACGGGTTATCGGATCCAAAACCCGACCCGATAGCTTAACGGCGTTCCGTTACGGTGGATGCCATGTGTCGGTCACCCTTGACGAAAGCACTTCTGTGACGCGCGATTTATCATCATGGAAGTGGACACTTCCGTGATGGTAATTTTGGTAATGTCATGGAACACTTCTACGACAGCACAGGTATGACTATCTTGATTCTGTCATAAAATCGTCATGGATGTACATGCATGACAAAAAACGCGACCTACTGTGACAAACACATATCATCACGAAAGTGTATTTTTTGTAGTGGTTGGGGACACAAGAGACTCTTTGTTATTTGGTTGCAGGGTTGTTTGAGAGAGACCATCTTCATCCTATGCCTTCCACAGATTGATAAACCTTAGGGCATCCATTTGAGGGAAATTTGCTACTGTCCTACAAAATTCTGGACTTGGAGGCCCAACAACGTCTACAAGGAATAAGTTGTGTAGTAGACATCACCCACCTTTACTTACATGTGCAATATTTTACTTTCCGCTGCTATATTCTTAGAATTGCATGTGTAGGGAGATGCTTGACTTGTTAGAATTGCTAAAATCTTCCCACAACTAAAATGGGAAAATATTAGAATCTATTTGGTCAAGTAGTCTAATCACCCCCCCTTCTAGACATAGTTCCGATCCTATATGCACCTATACAGCTGACAGCTGTATTGGGTGGGTTGGGACCCAAGAGACTATTTGTATTTGGTTGCAGGATTGTTGAGAGAGAACCATCTTCATCCTACACCTTCCACGGGCTGATAAACGTTAGGTCATCCACTTGAGAAAATTTGTTGCTGTCCTACAGAACTCTGCGCATGGAGGCCAGCAGAGTCTACAAGAATAAAGTTGCGTAATACTCCCTCCGTTCCAAAATAGATGACCCAACTTTGTACTAAAGTTAGTACAAAGTTGAGTCATCTATTTTAGAATGGAGGGAGTAGACATTAGTCGGTTGTAGTATCACAGCTCATGCTAAACCATCGCCTCCGAATGTTGCAACATGTCACAGATGGCTGGGGTGAGAAAACTGCAACCACAAAGTCATGGTGCTGGAACTGGGCAGCAGAAAAGCTGCAACCACAAGTCATGGGTGCTAGAACCGGGCAGCAGAAAAGCTGCAACCACAAGTCGTTGATGATGGAACCGAATTACAGGAAAGATGTGACTGACATGGTGTTTTGCTGTGATCGGCGAGACATTTTGCATTTGCTGCAACCAGCCAACTACAACGTTGGTGTTCTTACAATTCTAGCTCATGGTGTGCGTGGTCGTCATCTTGCCCTGTAATGCTTGTTGTAGGCTAGGCTGTGTCACCGCTCGCGTCGGTGATGCAACCAGCCTCTCTGGCGGCACTTACTACAAGGAGGGGAGAGGGGAGAATGGGGTGCAATGCTCTCCTGAGAAGAGCCGATGTGACAGCGACATACGAGGAAGAAGAATGCGAGGCAAGGAATGAATATGAGAGAAGCGTGTGGATGAGAGCAACACGCGTGTGGATGACAGCCGGAAGACTCTCCTTGGGTGGACCCAATAGCACGTGCGTGGTACTAGTGGGAGTGTCCATCTCGTTCGATCAAGTGGCTCGCGTGTGACTGGCGAGACTTTCGGCCGATTGGATGAAAGGAATTTACCTTTTTTTCTTAGTTGCTAACAAAATTTTCACCTCTTCCATTTCTAACAACAAAGCAAAAATGAAAAATGCCACTTCATGAAAAATTGACTTTCTCGTTTCATACAACCATGAAAATTTTCACTTCATGAAATATTCGATCTACTCAATCATTTTTAACCGCTGCCTTGCCGCTCGACACGGTTGGCCCGTCCGGAGGCAGTCCCTCTCAACTAGCAAGAAGACTAAGGGCGTGTTTGGTTGCCGTGCGCTACAGTACCCGCATTGCATACACTTCTCCACCCAACCTGGCTATGCAAATGCAGCCTCAAATGCGCCATATGCATGTTGTTTGGTTGCCTGCGTGCCCTCTTACCTGCATGGGCTGAACCACACTGCCTGGTATTTGGTTGCCTGCATGTTAGTGCACAAACCCAAGGCATGGTGTTTGGTTGTATGCAAGGCCTGATGTGTGGTAACCTCTTTGGCTAGTTGGTGAGGTTACCACCAAACTTCGGCAGCACACATCATAAGCACAACAGAGTATAAACAGAGCATCAACTAGCATAATTCAAATATAAGCAGTACCACAGTTCATAATAGTTCAACGCATAAACCATAAACATGTTCAAAGCAGACTCGATAGTACGCTCGAAAGAGGTGGCCCGATCCTACTCCTTGGTGGCGAAGGCTTCGTCGTGCTTCCCGCACTTGTTGACGACCTCAATGCCACCGTCGTCGAAGATGATGACCTTGAGGGTGTCGGGAGTGAGGAGCTTGAACGTCACCATGTAGCCGATCTTGATCTAATGAACGGCTGCGTAGGTGGCCCAACCCTGATCCATGGTCACCCTACCGTTCATCATCTTGACCGTCACCTTCCAGGAGCAGGCGGTGTTGTTCCTGAGCTTGAACTCCGTCGGCACCGCGACGAAGTGCTTGGTGAAGTCCAGGGGCATGGGGATGCACTCAAGCTTTGGTGCAAGGATGACCTTGCAGAAGTGAGTTGGGCCATCCTCCTGATGGTAGTGGCCATAGTTGCGACGCTTGTTGCTGGGGGGGCTCCTCCATGCCCTCGTCGTCGCCACCCTCAAGCGTCTTTGGGTCTTCGTCGGTGGTGGGCGGCAGCTCAACCTCGTCGGGCATTGGGTGAAGGGGCTGCTTGCCCTTGTTGTCAACGGCCGGGAGCACCTCTGTGCCCATCTCATTGCTATCCTCGATCTGCACACAAGTCATGGAGTTAGGCACTGCACAGAGTTCATGGCTAATTCAAGAGCTTGTAGTTAAAACGGCATGACTGTCACTCTTCTCCTCCTCTCCATCCCCTTATATTTACTCATCCTACCCACCACTACTTACCCACCCCCTCTCTTTTCTCACTGTCAACCTTCCTCCTCCCCATCGCCATGAGCTCTAGCTCCAGCTCCAACGCCAACCCCTTCCCTTGGGGTATTGGCTGGAGGGCCTTCTTCCTCGGGTGGACGGCTGGTGACCGGACCAAGTTCGAGAACACCATGGAGGTGTGCTCGAACTTCGGCTCTATGTCGGACATGCAGAACGAATCTAATGCCGTGCTCATGAAGGCCACTAAAGAAGAGCTGAAGACGCTGATTCCTGACCCAGCGAAGGGCGTGATGGCAGTTGACATCATTCGTTGGGCCATGAATCAGGCCGTCTCCGACGACCCTAAATAGAGGAAGAAGTGGTGCAAGTACAAGACCTACGGGGCTCCTAATGACTGTTGTGCCACAGTGTACTGGGAGACGGCTATCGCGCCGCCGGCGGTCATCGGTGGGGACCTAAGGAAGAGGAAGAAGAGGCGATGCACATGCCAGCTAGGGCGCTAGAGCCAGTCTGTCCTACCTGGCAGATCGACCTCGACTCCGCCGAGGACGACGAGGACGACCCGCCGGCCCGCACGGCGATGAAGAAGAAGATGAAGGCCAACGGCTCGACAAGCCGCTCCGCACGCCGGTGATGGCCGCCGCGGTCAGTCGGTGTCCGTTGTGTATCCCCTTTCCCTCTATTCCCCTATCCCCCAATCCCGAAATCTACCTTATGCATTCCGATCTTGCATGTATGAACTCGTATGAACTAGTATGAATTACCCCTATGCTTATCTACCTCTATTCCCCATTCCCGTCCGTCGTGGATCGAATCTATCGCCGTGGATCGAATCAAGCGTGCATGTCGAAGAGAGAGAAGTGCTTACCGCCATTGATGGGGTCCGGTGGTCCGATTCCTCTGCTCCGATCCGCCGCCGCCGGTGATGGAGTCCGGTGGTCTTCTTCCTCTGCTCCGATCCGTCGCCGCCAGTGAGAGTTGGGAGAGTGGGGAAGAGCGGGGAGAGGAAGCGGTGAGGGGCGGTGAGGCTAATAACTGTCGGTGCTTCGGAAAGCAACGCGGCTTCTCGAGCGTGGCCGCGCGCGTGCAGCCGCGCCCGCCCACATGCACCGCTCGGGCCTGGCCCTGGAAAAACTGCTGATTCGTGCGTTCCCAGTGAATTAGGCCTAGAGGTACTTTAAAAAGCGTGCGATGCAGATCCAATAATATATGCGGGCTACCAAACAGACCGAATTCTTCCCGCGCGGGCCTGATCGAACCTTATGCGGTCAACCAAACACGCCCTAACTGTATCGAGCAACGACGGCACAAGGCAAAAGGACGGGCATAGCCGAAGAGGCAATTGTGTGGTGGGCTTTGCCATCAAATCCCAACCCGGGATCATCGACCACAGGGCGCGCTATCCACATCATTTCCCGCGCAAATGAACGCCATGGCCGCCACCGCCACCGCCTCCACGTCGCTCCCGGCGAGGACCTTCTCAAGCGCCCGCCCCGTCGCATGGATCGCCGCCCGGTGCCTCCCAAGAAGGGCAGGAGGAGAGAGCATGCTGTCGCCCTCCCCTCTCCGCTTCTCCGCCGTGAGAACGCGGCGAGCGGAGGCAGCTCGCGCGTCCGCGGCGGGCGCGGGCGGAGCGCCGGCTGCAGCCCTGCCGGCGGCGCTGCTCTTCGACTGCGACGGCGTGCTCGTGGACACCGAGAAGGACGGCCACCGCATTTCCTTCAACGAGACGTTCGCCGAGGTATGGTTTCCTTCCACTCCACCGATGCCTTGCCTACGATCCGTCCTGATTTCCTGATGCGGTTGCTCCCCGGGTCAAGATAACTCTTTGTGTTTGCAGAGAGAATTAGGCGTGAGCTGGGATGTTGAACTGTACGGAGAATTGCTCAAGATAGGTGGTGGGAAGGAAAGGTCAATTGATTCTTTACTCTTTTCATAAGTGGTTTGTGTTGCTTTGAGGAATTTGACAAAATGACACACTTCTCTTCAAAGGCCTGCTAAAATCCTGACCACTATTTGCATCTTCACAATTTCAAAAAAATAAATAAATGAAGTGAGAATTCCTAAAACGAAACCACGATGAATTTATTAACTGTTTTAGGAGTACGTGATTCATAATTTACATATTATTGCGTCAGATTATATTCACTCAAGGACTTCTCATTTATTCCTAATATATTGAAACATTTGACTGATCTGAAGTTCCATGGCAATCTCCAAGAGCAATATCATCATGTCAAGGATGAAAATGAAGACAGCTGTTCAGTTATCTAATCGCATAGTCTAAATGTTAGAGTACGTAATGGGCCTGGGCTGGCGGTATAGCCCGTTAGTCTTAGGGTTAATTAGAGATAAGGGTCGCTTGCTTAGGGGTCAAGTAAGTCTTGATTGGAAGTCAAGTAAACCTCTCTATATAAAGAGAGGAGATGTATCAATCTAATCAAGCAAGAATTAAGAAGGAAATCCCTTCCCTCTTGCCCAGCCGTGGGCAAAAAGGCCCCCGGCCGGCCCTCTCGCGCCCTCCTTCTAGCAGCACAATAACAATTTGGTATCAGCTAGCTTCGGTTCGATCATGTCTTCACCGCCGCCAAGCCCATCTCTTCCGCTGCCGGTCACCTTGTCGCCTCCGGCAACCACCACGACCGTCGCCCCGCTCCTGCCCGCGTCGGGATCCTCCGTCGCGCCCGCCCCCGCCGGGCTCACCTGGGAGGAGGTGTCCGGGGTGCTGCGGGACCTAACCCAGGCGGTCCAGGAGATCCACCTGTTCTTGGCCGGGTCCTACGGGCCGCACCCGGCTGCGCCGCCCATCGCCGCCCCTGCGCCGCCGTGGCAGCCGCCGCACCAGGCAGCCTTCGCCGCGCTCGCCGGGCCGCTGCAGCTGCCATCCATTGCCACCACCGCTCAGCCCTGGCTGCAGTGGCAGCTGCCGCTCCTGGCGGCCTCCGCCGCGCCCGGCGCTCCGCTGCAGCAGCCGCTGCCGCTGCCTGGCGCGACACTGCAGCAGCCGCTGTAGCTGCAGCAGCCACCGCCGGTCAGCTCCGCCGCCCAGTATGTGATGCCCTACGACGGGAGTGCGACGACCTCGTTCCCATCAGCGCCGCCGCCATCCCAGGGCGTCCACATCCAGCAGATCAAGTCCCCGCCGTCGCCGTCACCGCTTCCATCTTGGATCGCTACCCGCCACGTGTCGGCGGCTGTGAGGCTGCAGGCTGCTGCGCGCGGCCTCCTAGTGCGTCGGCGTGTGCGGGAGATGCGTGGTCTGCAGCTGCCGCTCCTCCAAGTTTCCCTTCGCGGCGCAAAGGACCTCGATCTCGTCTGCTGCGACGGGGATCTTGGGCATGCGGTTTCCCCCACGGGTGGCGGGCATGCTGTTTTCCCCGCGGGCAGCGACCTCAAAGTCTGCGACATCGACGGTTGGGGAGGCGCACCCCTCCTCGTCATTCTCCATCGCAAGCCCTCCACTCTTCCCTGTGTGGTGCAGACCAACAGCAGTCCGGCGGGGAGAAGGCAGGGTGTCACCGACAGGAGCGCACCGCGTAGCACCACTGCTTTCCGTCGCCGGCCGCCGCGAGGGCGCCTCTGCTGGTCGCTCTTGCGACCACTTCCTGGTGGCCATACACATGCACTCCTTTGGTCCAGGTGGTGTCCATGGGATCCAGGTGGCTGTACACGTGCACGTCCGACGCGCGGATGGTGTCCACTTTTTGTTGAGGGGTCCAAAATAAAGCGTCCCAGTCCATTTCAGGTTGAGAGTCATAAAACAAGCCGAGATGTAAAAGGCTTGTTTTTAGGTGTTAGGTTTGTGTTGCGTCGAGTCATGGTTATAAGTTGGTTAGGCTGCAGCTCGAGGACAAGCTGCATGTCCAGGTGGGGTGTAGTGTTAGAGTACGTAATGGGCCTGGGCTGGCGGTATAGCCCGTTAGTCTTAGGGTTAATTAGAGATAAGGTCGCTTGCTTAGGGGTCAAGTAAGCCTTGCTTGGGAGTCAAGTAAACCTCTCTATATAAAGAGAGGAGATGTATCAATCTAATCAAGCAAGAATTAAGAAGGAAATCCCTTCCCTCTTGCCCGGCCGTGGGCAAAAAGGCCCCCGGCCGGCCCTCTCGCGCCCTCCTTCTAGCAGCACCATAACACTAAAGCTGATGTTTTGTATGGGGAATCTGCAGCTGATTTTCTGAGCTGAAAAATAAACTTCAGAATGGTATTGAAATATTAAAGCATAGGTGTTTTCGAAAGTAATATATGCAAATAACATGTAGGAATTTTTCTTGAAACTGGTGATGCTAAAAGACCTACACTTGGAAACATGATTTTCACACCAAATTAATCCATTCTAGAAAATTTAAATTGAATATTTGTGTTGAATTCAACTGTAACAACAGTTTGAACATTCCTTGCAGGATGACAGCATATTTCAACAAGACAGAGTGGCCAGCTAAAGCGCCAAAGACTGACGAAGAAAGAAAGGAATTTGTTGCTTCTCTTCACAAGAGGAAAACAGAATTGTTTATGGCCCTAATTGAGAAGAAGTTGCTTCCTCTCCGTCCAGGCGTTCAAAGGTCATGTTTTCAAACAATTTGATGACCTCGGTAACTTAAATGCAGTTTAAATGCACTTGCGTATCAGAAACGGCTGCTGCAACTACACTAGTTTGAAGTGCTTCCTTACAACAATCAAAATAGTCACTAAAAAATCACTTATGTTGCGTGTGAACAACATAATAAGCAGTGAACTTTTACCGCTGTATGATTATATAGCAGTTCTGGCGTAACCAATCTGTTCTATACTGGGAACAAAATGCATTAACCATATGTATTATTAATTGTAATTACGTTTCTAATATGTAATCTGAAAAGGTTAAAGAAATAAGTGAAACAAGTTTTACATAACTAGCATTTCATTTGCCGTTGAAGAAGTCTACATTACATGAATAGAAAGATGTGTCGATGTAATCCAACAATAGAATGGTAAATCAACTAACCTAAAAATGCTGGAGTAACTTTTTTTTAAAGGTGGAGTAACTTTGTTAGACGAAAATTTATAAATTAATTATCTTCTTAACTTTTACAGGTTAATTGATGAAGCTCTAGGAAAAGGGGTGAAAGTTGCAGTATGCAGTACTTCAAATGAGAAAGCTGTAAGTAACAAAGTATTTCCCAACCACAAATGCTTATACGAGAGATATGGTAGGAATTATTAAAAAAAACTGAGTACATCATGGGAGAAGTGTTTCTTCCAGTATTTGCAAAAGGCAATGCTCTCTTTTTCGAACTCAAAAGGGAATGTTCTATTAGTTCTTCTTAAGAACCCATTTTATACTATGCTGCACTCCATTTAAATCACCTCGCATTTGATTTATATTTTGAGTTTATATGCAGGGCTTCTGACATATTTCACTCTCCACTTAGTGCAGGTTTCAGCAATAGTAGCGTGCTTACTGGGGCCTGACCGAGCAGAAAAGATTACCATATTCGCTGGGGATGTGGTTCCTCGCAAAAAACCTGATCCGGTAAGGGGTAGTATGCAGTTGTGTTTCGATGTTGCGCTGTACAGTGCAATCTACTTTGTCAGGGGAACCTTTTTCATGGTTTAGTAATATTGTTGTTACAGATAAAAAAACTTTCAGCCGATGATCACATCTGAAAATAGAAACAAATAACTTTCAGCCAAATGACCCCTAAGTTGATCTCACAGTTTGGTACATACTAATTCATCTGGCATATTCTAGGTTTTTGTTTGAATGTTTTTTTTGCCAAGTTTACACGAAGCTTTCAAGAATCTTTGGAAGGTTTGGACTGTCAGTGAATTACTTCACATAATACCATGTCATTAATTGTTCCATACATTTACTTAACCTCACCATTGCGTTTGAAGGATTATCCATTGGACATCCTTCCACTATAACAAACCAATTTGCAGCACATGTGCCTTAGGGCACTACAATGATCCTGGAAACCCGGTAATATCTATTTTGCAGCAATGATGTACCATGATTAGCATTCCGTAGATAGTTTATACTCCCTCCAATTCACAAATAAGTGATGTTTTGAACATATCTTACGTCAAACTTTTAAACTTTTACTGTCAATATAGTTTTAAATATTTACTCCCTCCGTTCCATATTAAGTGCCGCTGATTTAATACAATGTACTAAATCAGTGGCACTTAAGATGGAATAGTAAAAACATGAAAATCATATGTATAGATTTGTCTTGACTTGAAGACCGTGTGAAGTAGAGGGAGTACCTCCTTAAAATTTCTAGGACAAAAAAGCAATAGTCTTCATAGACAGCATCACACCAGAACTGAACATTGGAAAGGAGAGATGAACTAGTCATCAGTGCTGCAGGTGCTGTATATCTGACTGCCCATGATTTATTAAGTTTTCAAGCACTCAGAAGCTTCTTGTTTGAAACTAGCTTGTTTTAATGGAATCTTGGACATTTGCTTCTTTTAAAGATAAATCCTTTCAAAATGATCCTCCTATCATTTTTGTTTGGCTTGGCATATTAAGCTGGATTCAATTCACGCTTTCTATACTCAGATTTACATTTGCTTTCAGTGAAGTAACTATCTGGACATATAAGTTCTGGATAAAAAAAATGATTCCTGTATTTTTGTACATGTCAGAGATAATGTGTTTCTTTTTTGGGTTTTGCAGGCAATCTACTTGCTAGCGGCAACTACATTGGAAGTTGATCCATCTAGGTACTGCAAAAGCAATATTTTGGGTTATTTACACTGTTTTTCTTTTGAGTGTATTGTTCCAAAAAAAGAATGATTTGCCTGATTTGAATGTGGGATTTGTGTATATAGGGTATCTGAAATTAGTCTGATTTAATATTATTATGCATTAGTTTTCACATGAAAAACTCTGTCGTAAATGTTGATTGTTAAAGGAACAGTAGATGCAATAAGAAGACGGACTGCTACGACATTAACATTTGGGTTTCCATTTTGGTCAACATACTGTAATAAATTTCGACTGTATTTACATTGCTGCACCATCTTTTATATTAATTTATTTACAACCTTGTTACATTTTTATCTTTTTTAATTATATGAATTCTTTTGTACTAATTATTAATGTAATATTAAAAGTACTTTTGCTAATATTTCTCCTTTGGATGTCAGCTGTGTTGTTGTTGAAGACAGTAACATAGGGCTTTCAGCAGCCAAAGCTGCTGGTATGAAGTGCATTGTAACAAAAAGCGGGTATAACTTTCTATCTGTGAAGTACTTCTATATGATAGTTAGTACGCATTTCATAATAAAGAAGGGTGGTGTTCTTTTTGGACAGAAGAAAATTGTTGACTTCTACTGTTCTACAAGAGATGTTATATTGCAGAGAACTGGGATCAAAATACTTTTGGCCTTGGACCCGGCATTTATTAGCTCTGCATAAATGCCACCGGTTGACTAAAAAAATGTGTTAGCTTTCTGAACAATGCCTTGCAGTATATCTGACCTATAAGTCCATGCCTACTGCATCACTTGGCCTCAGAAATAAGAATTTATTTTGCCGTCACGTGCATGCTACATACATGACATGTTTTTTCCTTCATTTATTTTCTCACTTTTGTGTACTTGAAATGTTAGGCATGTTCAATAGCATAATCATATGCTTCTAACATTGTAGAGGTTTAAATTTGAGAATGAATGCTAGAAACACCAGCGCAGAAAATGGGAATGGGGCACTACGATTATGAACTCAGTCAGCTGACAACCTAAGCATGCATACTGAATTTGTTCATGAGCCTAGAAGTGGACCTCATCTTCTTGTGTTGAACAGGTACACCGCAGATGAGGACTTTGTGATAGCGGATGCTGTGTTTGATTGCATCGGCGACCCTCCAGAAGGGCGCTTTGATTTAGAGTTCTGCGCCAACCTCCTCCAGAAACAATTCGTGAGCTGAGTAAGCACACGCTCAGAGTCGACCGGCCTCAGTACATAAATCTTGTACAGAAGTTTGCCAAGAGTGGTGACCACCAGTTGTAAATGGTTTTGAATATAAAAGAAATGCCGCTAAATTGCACAAAGAAATGGCTGACATTCAACGGCACTTGCAAAATTGTTCGTCCCCTTGGAAAATTCATAAATCCTCCAATATATCTCTAGCATTTGACATTTGCCCTGCTACATTATGAAATTGCCCGTCTCATGTTGTTACCTCACCTTAGAGCAAGGATTACCTTTGGTAAGTACTCCCTCTGTCCCGAATTAGTTGACTCAGATTTGTCTAGACACGGTTAGTGTTAGATACATCCGTATGTAGACAAATCCAAGACAACTAAATTTGGGACGGAGGTAATGTCTTATTTTCAATCCAACTAATGCTCCTTTGGAACAAAGGATGATGTTTGCAGGAATCTCATAGCATCGGAGATCTACATGAAAGTTTTCCATGAAACAATTTGGACTGTAGGATTTACTTTAAAGTTATCTGCATGAATATTCTTGTTTGCTCTTGTACATGGAGGATTTTAATCATTTCCTTAAAAGCCAAACCTCGCTCTTTTCATGTCTTGTTCAATTCACATGGAAATCCTACTTCCAGTAAAAAAAATCATTCCGATGGGAACAAAAATTGTTCATCTAGCAAATGTCAAGTCAACAAAGAAGAATTGCTGCAGACTACTCCCTCTGTAAAGAAATATAAGAGCATTTAGATCAGTAAAGTAGTGATCTAAACACTCTTATATTTCTTTACAGAGCATTTGAGAAGTTTTGTCTGTCTTTTTGCCTTGAAAACATAGCAAAACATTTCTAAGGTGGAAAAGGTCTACAACCAAGTCAAGTAAACTACTGAGCTGGTGGCCGCGGTAGCACCTACACGTTGCTTGCCCTGAGACAGCATGGCTTGGGGGAGGCAGGAGCAAAAGAAGTTGAGAGCGGAAGCCAGAGAGGCGCCACATTCATAATCATAATCAATCCATAAAATTGTCATCAAATACAGAAGAGTAAGTTAGATCATCATTTGAAAAAGACCACAGCACCAGAACAAATGGGCACACTGTCAACTATTATGAAGACCGAACACAAGTTCATCAAATCAGATTTTAAAATTTCACTACCATAGAAACTAGTATTCATCTTGAAACATAATTTCAGCGCAAATGCATACGAACAACTCATAAAGTAAAACACCATTTTTAAAAATATGAAAAAAATCTAGTGAACAACATATGAGCTTCTCTGATACGAGTATTTACTAGAAGTCTGGTGGTATCTATAGTCTTGAAATTACAGTTAGAACTTCGGTGGCATACTTTGCTCAAACCAACACAGAAGAATGGTAAGGGCCTTCAGCGAACCGGATGAATCGCCTCTGAGTAAAAAAATAGCAAGCCTTTGATCTTGGCCCCAAATTGCAACTGAAACACCAGTTACAATTTCTTTTCTCATCCATCCTACTTCGATAGGCAACTGAAACACTAGTTACAATTTCCCCCCCTCATCCATCCTACTACGATAGGCAACACATGGCATGGCGGAACTGAAGCAAAACTGTCCCAACATGGGTATCAAAACCATCGAACTCAGCGTTTGTTGAAAGAATAGTTAGGTTTTTCCTCATCCACCCTACTTCTTTCGGACAATTCTCTTTCGCCGAAGCTTTGGAGAAGCATCTTCAGCTGCACCATACCTGATGCCTAGAAGTTCTAGGCCAGATACAATTGCATTCTTGGACATAAACCACCCTGCCTGTTGCTCGATGGCAAGCTCTGCTGCTGGGCCATTGTATGTTCTCAATAAATTATCCGAATTAAGCATATCTGCCCCCTCACCAAGCCAGACACGTCTCGATAGCTCCCCAATTTGAATATTCATCAATCTGAAATAGAGTGCAATGAGTGGCTAATTTTGGAATGTTCTACTTTTAAGAGCAGTTTACTACTCCCTCCGTCCGAAAAAGCTTGTCCCTCAAATGGATGTATCTAGCATTGATGCTAGATACATCCATTTGAGGGACAAGCTTTTTCGGACAGAGGGAGTATATGCTTATATGTGGTTCAAGCAGGGGGCATCCATGCTAAAATAAGGTGAAGAACAAAAAACCCTATAACATAATTGACACTTGGTTCCTCACATGCAATGGACCTTCACAACATGATATCATGAAGAAACTGCAAGGTGCAACGATTCTATAACAAGAATCATTTGATTAACTTGCATGGTGACACATCAAGTACATCATTAGCTTCCAAATGCTAATATCATAAATGCCATTTGTGATATACTCATGGCAAAATCTAACTCAACTCGAGTCAGTAGCTTCGGTTCATAATGAAAAACAGAAGTTGGCTATAAGGTAGACATGCAGCTGTATCTAAATATAATGAACAATGTTGAGCATAAACTTTTGGTGAAATTGCAGAGAAAATGATTTGCTAGGGATATACCTCATCGCTGTGCCGAAAAAGATTGCAACACCAAGGACATCAAAATGGTTCGCCATTGATCTATCAAGACCACATAAAAATTGATACCGCAGATTTGCATAAAGCCCATAATAAGCTCCATAACTAAGAGCATTGTTGCTGATAGAAGGAACAGTCATCGACAACCTACACGTAACGAGATTGGTCCAAATTAAACTCCAAAAACGTACAGGCAGAACTGTATAATTACTTAAGAAAAGCAGCGCATTTGGTGAACATGGATATAAACTGCACATAGTAACCCACCTTCTTTCTCTTCCAGCAGAAAGGACATTGGATAGACCACCTTGAATGGAGCCAATAACTAGCCCACCTAGGCAAAGCTCAGCAGCCTTGCTAAAGAGGGACTGGGTTCTTCCTAGAAGACCAAACTGTCTCATAGGATAGCTCTTTTCAAATATATTATTTGGAAGTTTATGGATCATATATGAACGGCATGGCGCAAGTGAACAGAAAACGGCTAAATTGCAAACTGTGGCAGTAACTACATTGAGTAACACCAAATCCCATTCTTCTTGGAACCTAGCACCCAAGAAATGTAGGATTCAATGAGATAGGTGCCAAAATAAAGGTTTAAACAGTAAAAGAAAACACAACATACCTCTCCTTACGGTTTTTCATCTCCCACCAAACAGATGTACTAGCGGTAGCTAGCAACTCAAAGGTCATCTTATGCAGGAAAGATGGATCTGCAAGCATTCTGCAATTAGGGAAGAGATGCCAATAGTTATTTTATTATTGCTAAGTCATAAAATCAACAAAAGGGACATGCAAAGATTATAAACTTAATCAGAGTGCATGCTGGCGCTATTTTATTAGCGAAGTAATATAACTCAGAATATAATGTTTAGACTCATAATGTTAGAATATGTTGTCAATTAAACAAGTATCAGATCCTGCACAACTTGACAAACTGGAAGCTCTAACAATCAAGACACTGTTAAACAAAAAGACATTCTCCCTCCGATCCATATTAATTGTTGGTGCTTTAGTACAACTTGAGGTTTTTTAAAAAAAAAATCAACAGTGTTGAATTCTGATATGTTGACTTCCAACAGAGAACATTCACAAATAGATTATGTCCAAACATTGATCATTATATGGTTTAGATACAGCTGCCAGCTATAGTGTTTTGTAAAGATACGAATGGTAAATGAACAAAGTATGGTTTGTGATTATTCTTTACAAGTGAATATGATTAGTGTTTGCTGATGTTACAACTTGCGAGTACAATTTTGATCCAAGTACTTCCAGTAATATCATTATAGAGAGAGATGACAGACAGAATCTATTCAACATGGAGCCTCCTGTTTTATATATTGGAGTCAATCCCATGTGACAAAGCCCAGTATCTCAAGTTCAACAAGATGACAATAATTCAAAAGGAGAATTTTATATGTTGAACAGATGTCACCAAACCAACAATTTTCAGATAGTACCTTCCAACAAGGCCTCTTGAGAAAAAGTCTGGAAAGGCTCGAGAGAAATATCTAGCCTTTGTGGGCCTTCCAAACAGTGACAAATATTGGACCATCTGAGCAGAGCTGACCAAACCCTACAAAATTCCAGTTGATACCATTCAGTAGTTAAGGATCAAAGCTCAAACTACATTTGAGAGTAAGATAGTTCAATACCATCTCATAAGCTTGGCGCAAACCAGCCGGCAAATTACTCATTGTCTTGTACCACTCTTGAAGAACGGCATCAACAAACTCCCTCTTAAAAAGCTGTACAAATGGGAGATGTAAGCTTAGAAACAGTTATCATACCCGAGGAGCACAGATCAGAGGGCTTCTCAGTAAGAATTAGACCTCTTGTATAATAATACGCCTTCTGAAAAATCCACTTTCTTCATCTCCATCGTCAGAGTCTTCAAAGTAATCATCATCATCACCATCATCATCTCCACTATTACCACCACCATAGCCAATTCGTTTCCCATTGTCTCCACCACCACCACCAGTTGCCAGCTATAGTGTTTTGTAAAGATACGAATCGTAAATGAACGAAGTTGTACATACTTTCCTAAGAGACAAGATACTAAACAATACCAAGCGCGCACGAGAAAACATTAAATATTAACAGACAAACTACCATTTCAAAGTGGAACATCCAAAAGCATATCCGCAGGAAGAAATTGTCAAGTTAAATAGAAACTGACAAATTGATTGAAAGGAATTTCATAGGATTTTTGGAGTGTTTGAATCCTTCAGAAATTTTCCTGTATGGGTTGCTTGATTCGCAGGATTAGAATCCTTGGGAAACTTCCTATGGATTCCTTTGCATTCTACTTTGGAGGAAAATTTTCATCCACTCAAACCTCTTGCTACAATTCATTAGTTTTCCTGTGATGTCAAACACTTTTTTATGCAAATTCCCAAAGTTTTCTAATCATATAAGATTCAAGATGAGATGGCACTCCAACCCTGTGTTTTTCTTATTCCTGTGTTCTTAGAATCGCGCGAATCAAAAGAGGTCTTCAAAGTGGAATCTCCAAAATACCTAAGTGCGGCACTGGACAACTTAAACTACACCCAATTTTTTGCACTTGAATGCCCTCTAAGTTCAGCTTGAAGATAAAAGAGATCTCCACCAATTTACATATTGCTGTATATGAATGTTTTAGAATATTAACAATTTGGGTGAGGATGAGCAGCCAAATTTGTGCATTAGGAGTTAAGTACATATAAAATAATTACAATCAACATTTTGACGGCCCAAAAACAAAACCGACCAAAAGAATTTAATCTTAATCCCTCTATGTGCACTAGTGCAATGAACGCATACACATTAGCACTATTTATGAACACTTTATACCATTAGAATCCCCATGTTCTGGTTTGGTCCAATCACCCTTGTCCAGAACACGCCATAGGGACTCAAGTTATATAGACCACAGTTTTGACAGAACTATATCTGCGATGCCACGGAATCACAGAGACGTTATGGAAGTGAGTTGTTGAATGAGAAGTGGACGAATGTGATTCATCCGAGCATTCTCTGTATAGCTTCCACTGTAGTACTTGGCCTCCGAACCACAGATCATGGACGGAAGCCTTTTTTGGTAGTACTTGGCCTCCCAATACGAGCTCCGTTTGGGCAGCAGAGAACCACAGATCATGGACGAAACGTATGCTGAAGGCGCGCACACACACAGAGATAAACTGCCAATTCCAACATCTCAAAGGACGCAACTCACGTGACACGTGTTCGTTCACTCATCTTGTAACACCAGCATCGGAATTCAGTAGTGCCTTCCGTTTCACGCAAGTGATAAAATCATAAAATCCAAGCTACAACACCAAGGAATCTTAACCAACGGCGTGACGAACGCACCTCGGGCTGGACGCCTTTGAGCCTCTTCTGGGAGAGGTCAAGCTTCGCCTTCTGGAGCGTGGCGGCCCCGAACGAGCCGCGCTGCCTCCCGCCCTTCATCTCCGGCGGGCCGGAGGCCGGCGCCGGGGTCGCGGCCAGGCACCGCTCGAGGCCAGCCGCGGCGCGGTCGCGGTCGCGGTCGCACCGCGAGGGGGGCGAGGAGGACGAGGAGACGGCGGCGACCCGGAGGCGGGTGCGGGGGAAGCGGACGAAGCGGGCGGGCGGGCGGGGCTGCGAGCGGGCGGGCGCGGCGAGGAGGCCGTGGTGGGAGACGGCGAGGGAGGCGGCGGAGACCATGGGTGGCGGCGGGATGGGATGGATGGGATGGTGGCGTTGGTGGCTCCGCCGGCGGTGGGGCTTGGCTGCCTGCCTTCGAAGCCGAAGCGCCGCGGCACGAAGAGGGGCTTATCTGCTCTCTTGGAGTTGTTTTGTGACTTTTGTCTGTGTGGGGCCCGGGCTGCGTACTTCTCTCTCTTTTTATTTCGTGTGGGGGTTTTTGTTCAAAGCCTGTTCGCTTGCGCTGGGAAGATGCGGCTCGCGGCCGCCGCCGGGGGTTGGTGGGTGGTATTATGCCGCGGTAGGCGAGATCAGTCGGCCGGGGCAGGATGCGACGTCCGCCCGTCGGCCTCAGGGTCGGGATCTCCCCTTCGATCTTGCCTCGTCTTCCCTCGCCTCTAGATCTCTCCTGGATCGCCTAATTTGTGCGAGGGAGGAATGCACATTTTTCATATCCAAATGAAGGATTTAGTTACAAATCGAAAGTCAGACTTTTGGCAAATCGGAAGTTTTAAATGACGAATTATGTTAATGTGCGGATGAGAATTTCCTTTAGCAAGTAAGTACTCCCTCCGTCCGGAAATACTTGTCACAGAAATGGATAAAAATAGATGTACTTAGAACTAAAATACATCTAGATACATCCATTTCTCCGACAAGTATTTTCGGACGGAGGGAGTAGTACTATAGGAGTATATGATAAATCTTTCCAAATGATAATGCCCACATGTGTGGCATATCTGCACTTCGCCTACACGCTTTGATCTCCGTCTGTTAGAGCAACTCCAACGGGGCGACCCAAACGGACGGCGCTTTTATCTGTTTTTTGTTCGTTTGGGTCGGCCGGCTGCCTGGCATCCGCCTGTTTTAGATTTGGGTACCCAAAGCACCGACCCATATGTGCCGGCGTGGCCAGCTGCCCGCCATATTTTAATAAATAGTTCTTTTTTGCATTGTTTCACACAGTGGCGGAGCTACGGACAATTTATTGGGCGGGCCAAAATTGGATCAGCCAAAGGAAAGCCTAAAAAAATTAAGTTCTTCAGCTAATTTTACCCTGACACCTACTGTTTTAGCCATAGGTTGGGCGGGCCATAGCACAGTTTTACTTGTGCATAGCTCCGTCACTGGTTTCACACACAACTTTTGCATTCAAACATATAGTCAAATAACATAGTTTCAATCGAATAAAATATCATAGTTTTACAAGCCAAATAAAAGTAAAAAATGTCTCACATAGTTTTGCAAGCCGAATAAAGAAGATACATCTATTGGTTGCCAACATGAGCCCACATATGCTCAACCAAAATGATTTGCAGTTGCACGTGAATCATGCATGTCATGATGAAATTGGATGAACTGTTCAAACGTTGCCGCTCCTTCATGCTCAGGCACAACATTCTCACCTTGAAACTGAAAATCTTGATCGTACAGATGTTTCAGTCGCTCATCTTCTACGATCATAATGTGCATGATCACACAAACAGTCATCATCTCCCACAGATTCTACGTGCTCCAAGTATTAGCAGGATACCGAACGATGCCCCATCGAGATTGCAAAACACCAAAGGCACGCTCGACATCCTTCCTAGCACTCTCTTACTCTTTGGCAAATCTTTTCCTCTTCTCTCCAACAGGGTTGGGGATTCTCTTCACAATAGTGGTCCACTGAGGATAGACATCGTCACCCAGGTAGTATCCTTTGTTGTAGTTGTGGCTGTTGATAGTAAAGTTCACCGGTGGGTTGTTGCCTTCGGCAAGCCTAGCAAACATGGACGAGCGTTGAAGCACGCTGATATCATTGTGTGATCCGAACATGCCAAAGAAAGAGTGTCAGATCCAGAGATCTTGAGACTCCACGACCTCTAGTATGACAGTGCAAGCCCTGACATGGCCCTTATACCGCCCTTGCCGAGCAGAAAGGCAGCTCTTCCACTCCCAATGCATACAGTGTATGCTGCCAAGCATCTCTGGGAAGCCCCTACTGGCATTCATCGCCAACAATCGGGTTGTATCTTTAGGAGTTGGCTCTCTCAAGTACTCAGGGCCAAACACAGCAATAACAGCCTTGCAAAACTTATACAGGAAGTCTAGGCATACAGACTCGCTCATACAGACATACTCGTCAATGAGATCACCGGGCACTCCGTATGCAAGCATTTGGATGGCAGCAGTGCATTTCTGATGAGAGGGGAAACCAATCTTTCCAAACACAACAATTTGTTGATGCATCGGAATAAACTCCTCAAATGTGGCCGAATTCTGGTATAAATGTTGGATAGGATCACGTATGTTCTCAAATTCCAGAGTTGTGGCGGCATTGTCACCTTCATCCTCGACGATCATATTGTACATGATCACACAACATGTCATCACTTCCCACAAGGTCTCCAGATCCCATTGTTTTGCAGGTCCACGAACAACTATACTCGGGCAATTCTTTCATTTTCAATGCATGCAATCAAGAGATCCAAGCAAACCTGGTCACCCTCTTCCTTCTGAGATTGACATGAGCCTCTCGGTGTCTGCCACAGATGGTTCTCTCAGGTACTGAGGTCCGAACACCTCGAGTCCTCGACCACGGCAGTTGCAAACCTGATCATGGCATCTCCGCATGTGCTCTCAGACATTCGTAGGTACTCGTTCCACGAATCAACGGCCGTGCCATATGCAAGCATCCGGAGTGCGACCGTGCACTTCTGGTAACTAGAGAAGCCAATTGTTCTGGCGTCCTTCTTCAGGATGAAGTAGTCATTGTAGGACCAGACGCCATGGTACAAATGATTGAAGGTAGTCTTGCACGTCCGAAAACGCCGGCGAAAATGGTAGCGAATAGTGCATCGGGGGCAAAGTAGTCGGCCATCAATGTCTAATGCCCATGTTCCTTGTTGCGTTTGAGCACTCGATGGCCCTTGATCTAGCCCTTGAAATTCATAACATGCTCCTCCGCACGCTCCGCATCTTCAAGGACCGCTTGCATCATCGCGGTCTCATCGGAGTACTCCTCCTCATTTGATGAGCCATCGGAGGACTCAACATACTGCTCATACATGTACTCTAAATCGGAATCCATTGGTACAAACAAGAAGGGACAACTGTTTTTAGCGTTGGCGATTCATCGAACAGATGTCGGGCATGGTAGAGGATGGTAGCTGGCGGGGCGGTCGGAGGACAGGGGGTTGAACGGAGACGGCGGAGAAGCAGCGGTGAGTCTTGCTGGATTGCCGGAGGTGACAAAGACGCGGATTTCTGGCAGGGGTGTGGCATGGTGGAGCGACGACAACGGCAAGAGAGAAAGAATGAAGAAGAGAAAATGGAGAGGATGGAGCACTTGACTTTTAGATTGGCAAACTAATACCAGGTTGATGACTTCACTTCTCTTGGGAACTTGCTTCTTCCTTCACCGAAGTTAGTAGTTAGCTTTTATGAAATCAAAAAGGGTGGAATGTGGAGCTAATATGGCTGGCTACAAGTATAGCCAAAGAAAGATGAGACGAGACGGACTGTCAGAGGACGCATCGCGGGGTCCAGGAAGGGTTTCGGGTGGGTGATACGTCTCCAACGTATCTATAATTTTTGATTGTTCCATGCTATTATATTATCTGTTTTGGATGCTTAATGAGCTTTATTACACACTTTTATATTATTTTTGGGACTAACCTATTAACCGGAGGCCCAGTGCAAATTGTTGTTTTTTGCCTATTTCAGTGTTTCGCAAAAAAGGAATGTCAAACGGAGTCCAAACGGAATGAAACCTTCGGGAGAGTCGTTTTTGGAACAAACGCGAACCGGGAGACTTGGAGTGGACGTCAAGGAAGCAAAAAGGCGGCCACGAGGTAGGAGGGCGCGCCCAGGGGGGTAGGCGCGCCCCCCACCCTCGTGGGCCCCTCGTGGCTCCACCGACCTACTTCTTTTGCCTATATATACTCATATACCCCGAAAACATCCAGGAGCACCATGAAACCCTATTTCCACCGCTGCAACCTTCTATACCAGTGAGATCCCATCTTGGGGCCTTTTTGGCGCTCCGCCGGAGGGGGAATCGATCACGGAGGGCTTCTACATCAACACCATAGCCTCTCCATCAATGTGTGAATAGTTTACCACAGACCTTCGAGTCCATAGTTATTAACGCTTCTTCTCTCTCTTTGATTCTCAATAGAAAGTTCTCCTCGATCTTCTTGGAGATCTATTCGATGTAATACTTTTTGCGGTGTGTTTGTCGAGATCCGATGAATTGTGGGTTTTTATGATCAAGATTATCTATGAACAATATTTGATTCTTCTCTGAATTCTTATATGTATGATTTGATATCTTTGCAAGTCTCTTCGAATTATCAGTTTAGTTTGGCCTACTAAATTGATCTTTCTTGCAATAGGAGAAGTGCTTAGCTTTGGGTTCAATCTTGCGGTGTCCTTTCCCAGTGACAGCAGGGGCAGCAAGGCACGTATTGTATTGTTGCCATCGAGGATAAAAAGATGATGTTTATATCATATTGCTTGAGTTTATCCCTCTACATCATGTCATCTTGCTTAATGTGTTACTCTATTCTTATGAACTTAATACTGTAGATGCATGCTGGATAGCGGTCGATGTGTGGAGTAATAATAGTAGATGTAGAATTGTTTCGATCTACTTGTCACAGATGTGATGCCTATATACATGATCATGCCTAGATATTCTCATAACTATGCGCTTTTCTATCAATTGCTCGATAGTAATTTGTTCACCCACCGTAAGATATGCTATCTTGAGAGAAGCCACTAGTGAAACCTATGGCCCCTGGGTCTCTTTTCCATCGTATTATATCTCTTTTATTAACAGTGCATCTTGTGTACTATTTTGCAATCTTTACTTTTCAATCTATACAACAAAAATACCAAAAATATTTATTTTATTATCTCTATCAGATCTCACTTTTGCAAGTGGCCCCAAAGGGATTGGCAACCCATTTTATCGCGTTGGTTGCAATGTTCTTATTTGTTTGTGCAGGTACAAGGCGACTTGCGCGTAAACTCCT